ATTATGGTATATTATGGTATGCTATGGTATACTTTCGTACAGTATGGCCTAAATAATGACCAATATTATGTAGGGGTCATATAGGGGTTATATTGGGATAATGGAAAAGAAACTGGAAGCTAATCGGGTTTAGGGGCCTAAATAATCGCCAATGTAATTTTGAGGTCTATTTGACTATACTGTAGTTATATAAGGAATATGGAACCATAATATTGGTAAGTATTTAGCCCCTATAGTATCTTAGAAAACCAAAGCTCTTGGACTCTGCTGCATGATCCCAGAATTCGAAACAAGCCGCGATGTGGTACGCTCATGAACTGTGGCATCCAGCTAATGCAGAGAGAAGAATTCGCTTCCCAATTAGTAATTAGACTGGCCATTTCGGCTCTCTGCTGTCACTTACTCAAGTTTTGGCCCAGTGCTTCAGGACCCGAGAAGTACTTGAAACTGCTGGAACAACAAATGCTCATGTTGCACGCACGAAAACGAAATTTCATGCCACAAAATGTTCACGCATCAACACACACGCAACGCAACACGCAAACCCTGTCCATCCAACGTCCTCCAAGGGGGGTTTCAACGTGTAAGGTTGTGGACAGTACATACCATGGTGATTCTCGCTTACAACCTTGAATTAAAAACCGTAGTCCACATGATCAAATGAAGCCTTCGATGGACTTCTTTGATTCTGGCACGTACCCCTTCCCCATTCCTTGATGAATATACCCAACTTTACGGCGCCTCGCGACCTGCGATACACCCTTGCCCCTCTTTTTTACATTGCGCACGCACGACTTTCAAGCTACCGAGACGCGCATCGTGTTTGGCTCTGAGATGTCTGTGCTTCGTTCTCAGAAGCTAGCTTAGCCTAAGCTGCGGAACACAATGCCCATTACTTCTGCAATCTATGTACAGAACTTGCCAGTGACTCTGACAAGACCGGCGTATCGCCAGACTTTCTGGCACTTTCGCCATGCCCGTGTGGGGGGCTGTGGGCTACTCAGCACCGCGGATCGTGCGCAAAGTCGGCAATATGAGGGTTTCCCAAACTTAGGGGTACCCTTTGGGGGATCCCAATAACAAGGACCATAGTATTTGGGGGTCTATCTTGGGGTACCCTAATTTTGGGAAACTACCATATAGAGATCAGAAAGCAAACCCCTCTCCCTCTTCAGTGTCCTAGTCCTTCTCCGCCGCGATGCCAGTCATCGCAACATCCTTGACCAGCATGGGCAGGGCGTGTGAAGGATTAGCTCAGCTATCATGAAATCACTCCTACGATCGTGCTGGCACGCACTCCTGACAATGAGCATGTACCAAACAAACAGCTAATAGTAGTAAGAACTAGTAATCATAGATAATAACAATACCAATACTAATAAATACTAGTACTAACCGCATGATGGCATCCCAAAGGCTGCAAAGATGTTCCCTCTGATGCTCGTTAAAAAATATTATAATAATAATAATAATAAAAGCAGATGCATGGGCCTCCTCGCAGAGCGCATCGGCTGCAGCCCAGCTTTCCTGCTCAGAGTCTCTTGGCACAAAGTGAATGGGGGTTTCCAAAAATTGGGGGTAGCATTTTGGGGGGTCCCCATAATAAGGACTATAACATTTTGGGGTCCATATTGGGGTCCCCCTATTTATGGAAACTACCAATGGCCTCTAGGAAAAGGAGAGAAACTATGGGATGCTACACACACTGTTGTTGCAGGATACTCGAGGCTAGGCGGAAGATGACGCAAAGTGGTTCTAGCACCACCTTAAGGTAATCTCTTCACCAATCAGGGCACCTCAACAATCTCGGTCACTCTGCGATTGTATTCTCGCCGATTCTCCGACCTCACGGCTCCAGCTTTCAGCATGCGTATCTGAACCTGAAAGCCTCGTGCGCGCTTCACAAGAAGCGGCATTCAAGGTCCCAGCCAAAGCTTCGCTGCTTCGCTATTTGCAGGCGAGTTCGGGTTCGGATCCGTCAGCAGCGACTGAAATGGCACAAGGTCGAATAGCAGAGAAACAACAGCCTGGCATGACTTACAAGAAGTCCTCCAACAGTCTCCGCTGGGAAAGGTGATGAAATGGGGACACGTCATGTGCGCGAAGGGCACGACAGGATGGGTGAAAATTTTGGTGAACTTGACAAGGTAAGATCCTTTGGCTACTCAAAATGAATTCGTTGATTCAGATAGCGATCAGAGCTTGTCAAGAATCAGTCCAAGCGATTGGATTGCGGGTGCACGGGTCCAACCAATCGTTGGATGCAACCAGTTCCAATTTGCATGCAAATCGGAGAGACTTCTGCATTTTATTTTTGGAACACCGTCCTGCTTGTACCTATATCACGGGACTGCTCTGCAGAATTGACCCGCAGAGAACTGGTGACTGGATCGCTACCATGAAGGTAGTGATAAGAACACTAACAATAGGAGTAATAATAAAAATCACACAAATAATGATGATAATAAAAAATTAGAGCAAGAACAACCAATAATGATGATGAGAAAATAACAACAATAACAACAACAGTAATGGCAAATAACGGCAATAACAATAAGAACTGACAGGGGGGTTCACCTGTGGGGGTGCACATTTCCACCGAAGACCGAAGACGCATTGTGAAGACACGTGCCGGGAGGCCCCTGGCCCCCTGACGCCTTGCACTGACACCACGTCAAGTGACGCCACTTCGGTCCACGGCTCCTGATGCCACTCCGGCGACGCCACGTCCGGCGACGCCACGTCCCTCACTGAAGCCCCGTGAGCTGTTGACGACGCATTCTGACGCCAAGTCCGGTGCTGACAGATGCCGCCCTCGACAGCGTCGTTCCTTGGCCCGGCCGGTGCGTCTGACGCCTGGTGGCACCGCCAGATCCACGGACGCCACATGTCTGCGTGATGCCACGTGAGGTTCCGACACCATGTCCTGGCAACACGTCCGGCTGCGCCACGTGGTTCCTTGACGAAGCGTCCTGACGCCACATTCGCCGACGACACCTGGCCCACGAACTTCCGGTGAGAACAAATGATCTCCAAAGACAGCATACCTGTGGCGCGGAGATGCAGGTGTGCCTGGGAGGTTTGCGCGCACGATTTCACGCCCCCGAAACCCACGGCGCGAGTTCCCCTCTCCCTCGCCAAAACTTTGTAACCTCCAGCCCCCCAGAAATCCAAGGCGCGAGCGCTGGGTTCGCCCGACCTGTCTCCGGGAAGTGTCTTCGCGAGCCCATGTGTCTTTGCGACGACGCGTGCCTTCACCCGACCGACCTATCTTCGGGAAGTGACTTCGCACACCCATGTGTCCTTGCGACGACACGTGTCCCATCCCGACCTGTCTTCGGGAAGTGTCTTCGCGTGCCCATGTGTCTTCGCGACGACACAGGTCCCATCCCGACCTGTCTCCGGGGAGTGTCTTCGGGGAGTGTCTTCGCGTGCCCATGTGTCTTCGCGACGACACGGGTCCCATCCCAACCTGTCGGGAAGCGTCTTCACACGCCTCTGTGCCTTCGCGACGACACATGCCTTCATCCGACCTGCCTTCAGCAGATATCTTCTGACACACATGCGGCTTCACTCAGTGAAGTGTCTTGGCCACGGCTGTGTTCTGAGAAAGTGTCTTCGGACGCCCATGTGTCTTCGCTCCGAGAATCGCCTCTCCGAGAAAATGTCTTCGGACCCCCGCGTGTCCTCGCTCCGAGAAATGTCTTCGCCTAGCATGTGTCTGCTGATGCGGAGGTGCCTCATGTGTCTTCAAAATGTGTCTTCGGTCTTCGGAGGAAATGCGCACCGCCCCAGACGACCGCAATAAAAAATCGGAGGGGCCCTGGATTGGTCCGGACGCCTTACTACACAACCCTAGCTTCCATGAAAGTGTCCATTTGATTCTCCGGGAAAGTAGTGTCCAATTCATGTTACAATTGTCCTACATAAACATGGTCTCCACGTAATTTTCCATGTTCTTGTCCATGTGATTCTTCATTGTAGGGAGTAGTATCCCTAAACCCTCAACCCTAAGTACTATAACTAATATAGTTAATATAGTAGCTTCTGCCACACATATAAACATACATATGTATACCTATATGCGCCTTTGGGACACAGGGCTTTCATTTTGCTTCCATTTGATTATTCATGAGCCAAGACATGTGGGACCATCTCGAGCGAAGCAAAAGCATCATTCTAACAAAAGCAAAACTACATTAATGATAGCAATAATGATAGTAATAGCACTACCGGTGATCATAATGACAGTAATAGCATTCATAACAGTAAGGATATGTCATTGCTTTCCCTCCAGGCCTGAACGGAAGTCAAGATTGCTGAGATGTCGTAGATAGGGCTCCACTGATTCTGCGAGCGGCACATGATGCGAACACGATTGAGACGCTTGATCACTCTTGATCTTACAGCACACCTGCAATCCAGACTGTGTGGAACACTGTACTTTGAGAGAAGCTGCTGAGCTTTTTCATCTGCCGTTGATGCGCCACAGGGCTCCCTCTTGTCCCCAAGCGCAGGCATTTGTGCATGCCTCCACTTCGAACACATATCCAAGTCACAGTGGCTCAGCTGTGGAGCAGCATGCAATAGCTCGTGCAGCTCACTGCTGCTAAAGCTGCACCTCAGCAAGAAACCATATGGAAATGTGAGCTGCCATGAGATGCAACGAGACAACGTCTGCAGTTTGATACTGTTTTGCCGCAGGCTCCCTGGCCAAGTGGTCTAAGATCCTGCAACTGTGCTGCGACTATGTACATCTGATCGCCAGGGTCCTTCGCTGGATCCTGACATGGCAAGGAGCTCTCCCTCACACCGCCGTATCGCCCCTGTACAATCACGACTTCCTCATGTCTGCGGGTCGAAGCTGAACAATGCAGAGACCATCGCGGAGAGGATGAAGATGCCACGGGGCCGTTGCGGCCCAAGGGGACAACGGACCATGTTTTGAGATCACGATGGACTCCACCTGAATGTTGATCTCATCACCGGCTGGTGGGCCAGAACCTCCAGTTCCAGATGCTGGACTAAGAATGCCAAAGTCCGCTAAGCAGCCAACTTGTCATAACTTGTCTATGACATCTCAGCTGGAATGCTGAGGCAATGGCCCAAAGCCTCTGGACCGCTCCTGCGGCCTGGAATAAATCTTTCTTCACGCTCAAAGCCAGGAAGCGAACCTGAGAGCACTTGCCTTGCCCTGCCCTCGACGGCAGGCTGCTTGGAGACATCTTCGTTGCGCATCGACTCCTTGACAGAGATGGCGATGACGCGGAGGAAGCTATTGCAACTATATTATCATGTACTATAGTACTATAATATACTATAGTATCATATTATACTAAATACTACATTATACTATAATACTATATTTATACTATCAAGCATGTTCAGTAAGCAAGGCCAGCGATCAGCTGAGCACGCCGCAAAGAGCTTTTTGGAGTTGATGAACTCAGTGGTCATGACTAAGAACCTCGGTTTTGGGTTTAGGATTTAGGGTTTAGGGTTTAGGGTTTAGGGCTTGGGGACAACCCTGCCCCACCCCGCAGCCCGTGTTGTAATCAATGACTTGCTCCCGTGTGTCTGCTAAAGCAAAGACTCGACTCAGCCTTGCGCTATACCGACAAGGAGATGTGCTTGTAGTTCCATTTAAGTAGTTAGGATATGGGGTATATGAAGATCTTACTATAATATACTCAAAGCCACATTCCATCTACTTCAGGGGGACTATAACTTGTAGGAATGCCAGCATCTGTTCAACCTCTAAGCCCCAAACCCTACATCGTAGCTTTGAGTTTCTTATCCATGCCCTGTACACCCCAATCCCAAAGCCCCAAACCCCAAACCCCAAACCCTGAACCCTAAATAGTAGTTTCCAGCTTCTTTTCCATTACCCCTATATAACCCCCATATTACCCCTATATAACCCCATATTACCCCTATAGAACCCCTATATTACCCCTGTATAACCCCCATATTACCAGGGAAACTGCAGCCGCCGTGGCCCTGCCTGCGACGACCCTCTTCGAGCTCTGAAAGCCGGCGAAGCGCAGCGATCTCTCCCGTTGTGACCCCACCTTCAGCGCCCATAAGGTATATATAATATGTTCATAGTATAATATAGTATTATAGAATCATATATACTATTTTAGTATAATATAATATGATAGTACAATATAGTATTATAGAATCGTATAGTACTATAGTATATGTTAATATAATATAATAGCTACACTACCTCATCTCTCACAGCAGACAGAAGACTGGGCTGCTGTTAAAAGAACTTAATTTCATTCACCATACTATGGGTGCATGGTAACTAATGGGGGTTTCCCTAACATAGCAAGTGTTAGAAAGGTTCCGTAACAGCAACCCAGGAGACTGGATAAGGGCCGCTGCCCAGAAAGCACACCAGCACGATTGAAGGCTTGTTGGGATCTTGCCTGCTGGTGGGCTTCTTACCGCTTGTTAATAGGGAATGAAGGTATGGAAAAGAAAGTGGAAACTACTTTACTATTGGGGATTAGGTAGGGATTACCATAAAGATCCTAGACCCTAACTGGGTACCATATAGAGATAAAATAAAGATCCATCTCTTCATTCCTTGCTAACCAGAGTCAAGGCTTTAGCAAACTTAAATACCGGAAAGCAAAACTCTGAGGTTTCAACCCTAAATCCTCAACCCCCTAAACCCAAACCCTAAACCCTGTGCGAGACTCTGAGGTGTCAACTCTTTCGCAGAGGTGTCAGGTTGTTGGAGCTCCTTTCAAAACCGAGCAGCGCTTTCTTGATGATTGAGCCACGTAAGACTCTATTACTCTAAAAGATTACACTGACCAAAGGGAATATATAATCTTTCAGGAAAGCCCAAAACCCTATACCCCCCTATATCCCCCCATAACCCTAAAACCCTAAACCCTAATCCCTCTAAACCCTAAACCCTATACCCCCCTATATCCCCCCATAACCCTAAAACCCTAAACCCTAAACCCTAAACCCTAAACCCTATACCCCTATACCCCCGTATAACCCTACAACCCTAAACCCTAAACCCTCTAAAGGTACCCCAAGCTCAGAGCCCAAATACACTTTCTGACCGCTCCGGCCTGTGCAGGGCCGTGCAGCAAGCTCAGGGCCTTGCAGATTTTGGGTTTAGGGGTACAGGGGTTTAGGGGTTTAGGGTTTAGGGTCTAAAGTTCAGGGTTTAGGGTTTAGGGTTTAAAGTTCAGGGTTTAGGGGTTTAGGGTTTAATGTAAGGATAATGGAAAAGAAAATGGAAGCTACAGGAATTATAGGGGTTATACAGGGGTTATATAGGGTTTAGGGTTATATGGGGCTATATGTAAGGTTATATTGGGCTTACTTAGGGATAATATAAGGATAATGGAAAAGAAAATTGAAACTACCATAGTATAGGGTTATACAGGGGTAATATAGGGAGAATGGAAAAGAAAATGGAAACTACTACAATTTATTGAGGATACATATAGGTATACCACCTTCTTGAGCAGGGTATAGGAAATTTAGGGCAAATGGAAAAGAGTTGTGATGCATCACCCGATGAGGGAGCCCGATCTGGTCTCCGACGGCGTTTTGCAGATATTGGCTTAGGGAGTTCTTGTCTCAGTGGGGATCTCATAGGGACCAAGGGAAGATATCATATACGGATAATTTAGGGCTTATATACCCTAAACCTTAAACTCTAAACCTTAAACCCCAAACCCTAAACCTTAAACCCTAAACCTTAAACCCTAAACCCTAAACCTTCAACCCTAAACCCTAAACCCTCAACCCTAAACCCTGGGATGATGTTCTCTTGTTCCCTTCTAACCAGTAAGCAGTTTCCCTAAATTACTGTTCCCAAATTGGGGGAAATTTATATAGGGCCCTGTATTATAATGGGAACCCTAAACCCTAGACCCCGTATTATAGCGAATTTAGACCAATACCCAGTAAGTTGCAAGGCTGGCGCCTCCTTCAGCGAGACCCAGCCTTTCGGCTGACTCCTGTTTCAGTTCTTCGGGTTTAGGGTTTAGGGTTTTAGGGGTTTAGGGTTTAGGGTTTAGGGTTTTAGGTTTTAGGGTTTAGGGTTTTAGGGGTTTAGGGTTTAGAGTTTCGGGTTTAGGGTTTAGGTTTAGGGAAAGTCTGAGCTGCGGTTAAGGAACTTTATCTAAGTTACCATACTACGGGTATATAGTGAATGATGGAGTTGCCTTATTATTGTAACCCTAGACCCCAAACCCCATGTACCATTACTATAGCAACTGAATTCAAGCTCCTGAAGTATTGGTATTTCCATAATATAATAATTCAAAAATTCCTTAGCAGCTACCCAGAGGTTTGCAGAAGGAAAGCCTACCTTGTCATCTGAACCAGTCGAACACTAAGTGGCGCATAGCCTCAGAAGGAGACACAAGCACTGGGATCACAAGAAGTGTTTAGGGTTTAGGATGCAGGGATTGGGGTTTACGGGGTTTTAGGGACAAAAGCTGCACCGGATGGAACACAGCCTTCTTGTATAAGGTCTCGGCCGCTGTATGCGTAGCTGATGTCCTGGTCTGCAGCGCCATCCTTCGTGCGGAGCACAATATGTTAGGGTTTAGGGTTTAGGGTATAGCAAAGCCCAAAACTCACAGTGTCACACTTGCACTCCATTGATTCCAGTATGTCCTCCACAAACAAGTTGAACTGTCGCTTGATGGTGCTCCTTAGTGAACGTAGGCTTACACAGCAGCTGCCATGAGTGGACGACATGTTCGACCATTTTTATTGTATTATTTCGGGGCCATTAAGTGGTAGCTTCAATAGGGGGACCCCAATATAGACTCAGCTGTACTATGATCCTTGTTATTGGGAACCCACAAATAGGTACCCCTAATTTTGGGAAACCCTTAAACCCTAAACCCGATATATCCCTATACATTATATACTACCCTTACATCCCTATATACTACTACCCCTATTTCCCCTTTTAAGAACCCAAAAAAAAACGGGCTTCCCGCCAGCCGGATTTGCCCTGCTGGTACCGCAGGAGACCGGCCCCTGAGTTTTAGTAAACACCGAAGGCTTTAGGGTCCCAGTATAAGGGATTATGAAAGGGTTATTTGGGGGATTAGACAAGGGCTATGTAAGGATTATGTAGAGTCATTCAGGGATTACGTAGGGTTATCAAGGGATGATATTAGAGCTATTTATGGATTATGTAGGTTTATTTAAGGATTCTGTAGGGTTGTTTAGGGATTGTATAGGGTTAGTTGTTGGTAGTATTGGCTATATGGGGAGGATATACACCGAAGGCTTACGAATTTCATGAAGCTGACGAGTCCACCACGTTCCATGTTGGCCAAGGTGAGCATGTGCTCGAACCCATATGACCTGAGGACAAAAGCTACATGCGCACATAACCCCGGCTTTCATTTCATGATCCATTTTCTTTTCCGTCTGTTTCTCCAGTATTGGGGTCTACTATGTTGGCGGGGGCTTAATATTCTGTACCCTAATCCCGAAACCGCCTCTAGAACCCTGTATATGTGTGTGTGTGTATATACCTAGTACAACGTAGTAGCTTCCATCCATTATCCCAATTTAACCCCAATATAAACCTAATACAACCCCAATGCAAGCCTCAATCATTTGGCTTCTAAATTTTCTCAGCCAGCAGGGCTCCGCACTGCAGAAAAGTTCGCTTCATCTGATCCAGCTGCTTGGCCTGTTTAGGAATTAACCCTAAGCCTTCAGCCCTAAACCCTGAACCCAAAAAGCGTTGGCCGGAGTATGGACGAATAATGGAAAAGAAAATGGAAACTATAGATATTATATAAACTTTACATAGGGATTATAGGGGTCATATAGGGGTTATGTAGGGATAATGGAAAAGAAAACATGAAAAATGGAAGCTACCATTACAACTGCTATTTCTACTATTGTTATTACCGTGTCCTTACTACTATTATTACGACTACTATGAATACTATTCTAATCAACAGCTGCACAGCCGCCTTGATTCCGTTGTTGACCAGGGACAGAAGACACAGCAATCGCAGGGCCTGAAAGAAATCTATCCTTACCCTATGTTACGCATGTCACCCTCCCTTTCCCTCTTGATTTCTTGTTTTGGTTGAACTTGGATCTTGGTCATATACTTGCCGAACAAGAAGAGATGCCTCGTGGAAAGGCTTCTGGTCATCCATGATGTCCTCCACTGGGAGAACAACGAAGCTCGCCAAGCCAAAATACTACCAACCCCCAGCATAGTATACCCCAATAATAGAGACGGTGATTTGTAAATATTAGATCTTGGGGTTATCAGGGCGCCTCCACCATGTCCAAGCAACTCTGTGAACTCGTGCTCTGGGCGGTGATCTCGTCCTCACACCCAAACAAAGCGAAACGCGACCAAACCCTAAACCCTGAATCCTACACCCTGGACCCTACACCCTACATCCTGAACCCTAAACCCGAAACCTCCCTGAGTACCATCAGGACCAACTGTCCTCAAGCTTCAGCATCTGCCTGTAGTCCTTCGGTGGCTCTGAATTTCCAATTTACTTCCATGAACCTCACAGATACCAGCACCTGCCTCGGACTGTATCCTATCCTTCAGATCATGGGCCAGGTTGATGTGCATCTCCAGCAGAGGATGTGCTGACCTATGTGGCATAGGGTTTCAGGATAGCATAGCTGTACAGCAGCAAGAAGCATCTAGGTAAGCTGAAAGCTGTGCAGTTTTGAACTTCTTGATGTACTCGGCCATGTCACTTGCACTTTTGTTCTTGACATTGTCCTGTCTGAAGCCACAGCCGATCAACTGACAGGCACAAAAATTCGGCCAGTTCCTTCTCTGAGTAGGTCTGCTGAACGGCACGAGCTTTCTCCTGCAGACAACTCGAACAGCAGCAAGCCCGAGCGTTCAATCTGTCATCCTCTAATAACGGCCCAAGCTTGTCGATGTGCAAGTCACGGATCTCCTCCCGCGAGATCCTACTTCTGTAATATAGGGGGAATTCTAGGATAATGGAAAAGAAAATGGAAGCTACTATAGTATATTGGGGTTATATTGGGTTTAGGGCTTAGTGCACTTTCTTTCGCGTACCAGACAGCCACAAACTCCTGATAAAACGGATCATCCGGCGACAAGCGTACGGTCGGATTGGTATTGCCCCGATCCTGATTTGCTGAAAAGATACCAGACATTTCTGCAGCAGTCAAAAGAACAGAAAGAACCTTGCGCCAGCCTTGGCCCACGTGGCATTGCTGGTATCAATCCTATAAGCAAAAGCCCGTCTTTCAGCATTCACACTTGAACCTTCAGTTTGAGATCCGTGCATGTTGTTGTGAATGCCGAAGGCGGAATCGATCAAGGCCTCCGCAAAAAAATGACATGCATCTGTTCCCGAAGCATGCACCCGGGCAAGGCAGCTGTCCTGCCTGGTAAGTAAACTGGGAACACAGAACAGAGAAAAGATCAACCCGACGGTCGATAACCACCTGCCAACGGTTCTTGTCAGTCACAATCTTTTACACATGGTACGTGTGGTAATCTCCCAAATAAGGGGAGCCTAGTATGGTGGTTCCAGGTACATAGTTTGGACACAGAACTGTGTGCCAATTCGCCAGCCCAAAGAACCAAGACGTGGACCAGTTCGCTGATTTTGGAGGTCTTGGCTTCTTGCACCTTCCACAAACTGTGCGATGTCAGGATACCTTCAAGGGTTTATAGGGGTTATATAGGGCTACTGGAAAGAAAATGGAAACTAGTGTCTTATAACAGGGCATGTGGTAGGGATTTGAGGAAGACATGGGGGCATGGACTTTGAGGGAAGCAAAGGTTTCTCAAGTGCTTGGGTTTCCCAAAATTAGGGGTACCCTTTTGAAAATCCCCATAATAAGGACTATAGTATTTAGGGGTCTGTATTGGGTCCCCCTATTTGGGAAACTACCAGATGAGTTCCTCAGCAAAAGGTGATGAGCGCGCCTCCTGTGCAGCACTGGCCAAAGCAGGCGACCTAGCAATGTTGTTTCTTTCACATCTCAATTACCTCAATCCAGCCTATACGCTAGTCTGACTTGGATTGGATAGCGGATTGAGATGGACATTGTCCAACTGCTTTATATACCAGCTCTAGCACATCCACATCCGAACAAAAACTTTCCTGGGCTGTTGGCGCTTGTGACGCCTCCTCTCGACGCCTTGTGGCTTTGATCCCAAAAGACGTACCGTGGAAAAGAGCCAATGGCTACTGTCTTAAAGCCAACCGTAAAGTAGTTACGAAATTTGTTTAGAGCTTATGGGGGTTTACAGTTTAGTGCTAGTGGCCGGTCCCTTACACGAAAGGAATTGTTCAGCGCCTGATAGCAGCCGCCCCTCGCGCACAGGGTGCAACAGGAGGGACTCCAGGCCTCAGCTGAAGCAGTCCTGCACCACACCGTATACCTTCAAGGGGGTTATATAGGGGATTATATAGGGAAGTAGTGTAGGGGAGTAGTATAGGGGGTATTAAGGGGGATAATACAGAATCTTGCAGTTGCTGAAAGTAGGTAGACTAACCGACTAACCCCTACAAAATGAGAAGCAGAATGGTGCAAAAAGCATGCCAAGGAGGCCCCTCGTCAAAGCAACAAGCCCGCATATGATGCCCTTGGTGATGGCAGCATGCCATGGTGCATCTGGGCATGCCGCTGAATCATCTCCAAGCTTCCCCCCTGCGTGGACCGCTTGGCCTGAAATGGCAGGTCCCTAGGCCCTAAACCCTAATAGTATATTATAGTATATCACCGTGTGTCGTAGTAAAATTTACCATAATATAATATAATATAATATAATATAATATAATATAGTATATGATAGTATCATATAAACTGCACGACCCGGTGGCAAAGGCGGGCCTGTCCGGCCTGATCCTCCTTCCGCAGCCTCTGCATGACCTCCACGACCACACGTCCTGCCTGTCATGACTTCGTGCGCAGGCCACCTCCAACTGAAGCCCTGGATTGCTGAGGCCACGGCCCCGCCAATAGCATGAACTGATGGGATCGTGCCAAACTTCTGCTGGAGGGACCTGAAGCAGTCAACACGCATATCACCATCCACAAGTGGCATTGTTGTAACCAGCCCAGCCAGGAGGCATAAGAGCCTGTGCAGCATAGAAGGGCCCCGAGGGATCCCCAAGCACATGGAAATCGTGGTACCTCGGATCATCTACCATCGGACAGGCTTGTCAGGGTTGCTGTTCAGGCATGTGATTTAAGTTACGGCAAGAAGGAAATCCTGTTATTTGCTATATACCTATAGCATGGTAACTTATCTCCCTAAATCCTATCCCCTAAACCCTGAACCCTATATACCTATAGTATGGTAACTTGACTTGAGTTCCTGAACACCCATGCAGTTGTTGCGGAAGGCCGAGGATCTCACAATCTGGGCGTTTCCATCGAGAGAACATCCTGTAAGAGAGGCTGAATGTTCAAAAATACGGTTTGAAGGATATGGATTACAGCATTTGGTGGGGTCTATATTCTCCCAAAACTGAGTTTGGGATAGGGTTTAGGGATTATAGCATTTTAGGGGTCTCTTAGGGTTCCCCTATTTTGGGAAACTATCATGTCCCTGACAGCAGTATAGTCAAGGTTTCAGTCCTTATCCGACGGGAAATGGTGGATGGCGCACTCAGTGATGCGGACATTGGCTTTGACCTCTGAGACAGAAAAAATGATCGAAAGCAGGACATGCCTCCTACAAGTCAAAAGACTCGAAGAGCTTGAATATATTTGAATGTAGCTGATTGCTGGAAGGCCTCCTCCGAGATCAACCGGAACCGTCTCTAAGATTGAGCCCTCTGCTTCCCCGGGCGCTTGGATGCTGACATTGCTTGCGGCCAAACGTTGGACACATTCCTCCGTCTTGGTAGGCACGAAAACCGCCACATAGAGACGTTCCTGCACCACACTTCACTCGTAGAAACGGGAGTCAGCAGCACCACGCCAACTGGTAGCCAGCTCATGTGCCTTCTGTTCTTGATCGTCTGCAAGGATCTGTTTCGCTATCATGTCTACAAGCTCCTGGGCAGCAAAAAGGCGAGGGCATCTCAAAATCATTTCCTTATCGCGGTGCCTGCTTTGGAAATCCCATCTTTGCCCTGGGGAAAATGTAGCAAATCCCCATCTTGAGGCCAAGCTGAATAATGCCCAAAAGTGCTGACCAATGCCGTCTTTGTGGTGCAGGACCCTGGCTGGTCTTACATGACAGCATATGGCATCTAGAAGCAGTGCCCAGTACTTAGCCCCCAACAGTCCGCGCACACCGCACCAGGAATATCATCTGCGAGCAATCGCTTGAAACCTTACACCCCGCACCAACTTGTGGAGAGCTTCTGGGGTATCCAAAACAAATTGAGCTGAGGGCTGTCTGATCGGACAGCTTATGCCTTGCAGGAAACTGCAGCGTGTGCCACAGTTTTCTGGGTACACTACCCAGCTCACCATTGCTGAACGCCATGATCTTTGAGGTCGTTGGGGCTGACGATCAGGTCCAAGGGTCCCACCTTTTCAGAAGTGCTCAACGATTCACGCATGTCCCAGTTGTTGCTCTTGGGGTCTGACGATTGTACTGTCAAGCAGCAGCACTTTACGGCCTGTCACCTGCAACGCAAAACCATGGTATTGAAAGAAATACGCCACCTCCAAGCCACGTCTGTGTAAGAGGACTCCCAGCCTCATCCAGCAAGTCCAACAAGCGCGCGCGGACATCTGCCCGCACCTCGTCTTAGTCATCTACAAGGCCGATGCACCTTTGAGTATCACAATATACTATGGTAGTTTCCAATTTATTTTCCATTATCCCTATATAATCCTTATATAACCCCAATATATACCCTATACAAACCCATGTTGAGCGGCTGTAAGTTCCCTGCAGCGTCTACAAGTTCTCCCACCGCTGAGTCCATCCACCTCGGCTAGAGTCTCGTCTCTTTTAGTAGCTTCCATTCTATTTTCCATTATCCCAATATAACTCTAATATTACCCCAATGTACCCTATATAACCCTAAACCCTTTTTTCTGGAGCAGCAAGCCGTTTTGGGCCCTGGCACGTTGCAAGGTCAAACAGCTGCACTGAAGCATGAGCAGTGTGCAGCTTAAGGCACTCAAGAACTGAATCTTGTCTACCTGCGGTCTGTTTGCCCTAGTCGTCCAGATGTTCAGCCACTGCTGTTTCGGTTATCTTCGCAACTTTAGTACGCTGCATGCTGCAAGTCCTGTATGAGGAGGTCCGGCGCACGAGTTCGCTTGCCACCGAAACGTTGCCAGAGTTCAATATGCCCGGGACAGAGCTACTCTTGAGAAACGGCTGCACAATGAGGCTATGTCTGCAGAGTGCAATCCGAAAGCAAGGAAACGTACACATGCGATGTGCATCAACAGATAAGGAAGGCACCAGCATCACGGCTGCGCAGCCATCCGCCTGTCAGTCACAACACCATCACTGCCCAGGGCTCCCAGCTGATCCAAGCTTCTGCTTTGCCACAAACTCTATCACATCTGCTTTACATGTTGCGCAGAATTTCTCGATGCAGGGTCGCATGATGCACGACCTAGAAAAGAAGTAAAGCCGTCAGTTCAGCTGCAGCCGCATTTGATTGAGTCATCGCAGTCAAAGTACCTCCGCCAAAGCTTGTGCTTCCTAGCCCTCTGCCACGAGAATGAGTGTTGGCTGGAGTTGGAGCTTTTTGTCTCGTGCTTCCTAGTGCCGCTGCCACCTACTCATACAGCCAGTCGTGTGTAGACTGGTTTCGCCGAAGTATGGTACAGGCTGGAGAGTACACTTCTGCACCCAGCTGGGAAGCGCTGACAACACCATGAACTCGAGTCTCTGCAAGAAGTCTCTCACTCGCTGAGGCTCATCACGGTGCTGCAGCGACCAGGCTGCAAATGCTAGCAGCTGGAATCAAACAGTTGGTGTAGGCAATCTTCCCACAGTCATACAAGATCATACAGGCATGCCACTGGCACGCGATGCCCAGAAGGCCACGCACACTCCTGAGCAGCGCCTCGACTGCTATCTTTTTCGCACTATTACGTTTCCTACTTCTTTTGAGTGTTGCTACTGCTGCTGCTGCTGCTACTACTACTACTGCTGCTACTACTGCTACTACTACTCCTTTTTTGATTATCACCTCTGGTTCAATTCTCGCAAGCTCGGGTCAGCCGGCGAGGCGCATTGCTGCGAAAGGGATCTGCCAGGTGCGAGCTCATGCACATTACAGGGTAGTTTCCCTAAATAAGGGGGCCCCTATTAGGGAAGTTACTGCGCGTTGTTAAGGGGTATTGGGGTTTAGGGCTTCATGCGGATGAGGGATCATTACCCCAATAATGGCCAGGGAATTGGAAATTACATTTTCTTAAAAAATTGAAACTAGTGCTTGATATGTAGTGTATGGGGATAGTTTGTAATTTCCTAAATAGGGGGACCCCAGAATAGACCCCTGGATACTTACCTTCCCCAGATGCCTTTCATCTGTAAAAAGAAGGAACAGAGGTTCATGTTGTTTGCTGATACTGACTGCCAGCATAAGCTAGCTCCTTTGCCACTTCTTTGCTGGGCCCTATGCAGTAAACCTCGCCCTCTACGGCTCCAGAGCTTGGGAACAGTGGCCCAAATTTCTCCACCTGCCACCAAGAAAGGGACTGCCGCAAGGGGGCCTGCTACAAGCCACCTTGAGCCTTCCACCCAGGCCGGTTCCTATCAGGGCCTCCCAACAATTACTATAATATTATACTATTTTATGGTATACTATACTGTATTATAATATACTATAATATACTATAATGTAGTATAATGTATTTAAAGAGCCAGGCTTGGGCTTCCAAACCAAGGCCTCGGGCCTCGCAGCATGATGGGGCCCAAAAGAAAAATTGTGTTGCTGACCCAGATTCCCTAACTGAGTTTCGGTCTTAAACCCCAAAGGAAGTAGGTTTGGCTGGCTTGGCCGTCTCAGACGGTGTGTGTTGGGTGATGTGTAAGATGGCCTTCCACCAGTGCAGCACCTTGCAAATCGCGATGCGCTACGAAACCTTGCAGCTTCTATCAAAACCTTGCAGCTCTCAACGCATGCGCCACGTAAAAGCACAGCAAAACCTGAACCCTAAACCCCAAACCAAACATGTTGTAAGCTTGAGCTTGAGCTCGCACCCGTGCATCAAAAATCTCGGCTCTGGCACCTGCCGGGGAGCAGGATTTTCTGAGTTGCAGCGCAGGAAGCCCATTTGATGGCTCCCGGTCGCGTAAGGATCGACGATGTTTAACAGCGTCGACTCGCGAAGACTGCCGAATTCTTCGTCTGCGTTGGAATCACTTGAGGGACTTTGATGGAATCTAAAACGGTTGTCTTCAAAGCCTTTTTCACAGTTCCAGCATGGGCCGCTGGCATGACCAGGCAAGGCATCCACACGGGCTCTGCGTGGCTACGATTCTACGGCGTAGTTCCAAACGATGTCCGGCGCTCCACCAATCTCCTTCCAAGTCAAAAGATGGCAGGTCAGCAGAAGATGCCCGAGCGAAAAGAAGCCGTCCTCATACCTGGCGGTAAGCTCCAGTACGAAGGAGGCATTGCTCACTGTACCTAGCAGTGGATCTCAGGATCTTCAGTCTTAGCGCCTGAGCCTTGAATCCTCTGGTTGGCTCTCGTGTGCCTGCTGCACCGATTGCCAGGGGAGAGGTAAGAGGAGGACAGACTCCTTGAACAACATGCAGCAACGGATTTGTTTTACGAGCAAATGCCCTTCTGCACTACACGTCTGGATCTTTTTCTTTCTTTGTTTTTGGGTCTTCTACAGGCCATGCAGGAAGGCCAAATATCGCTTGCAGAAGATGCGCGTCCTTGCCCGTTTTTTGTGTGTCTCACAGGCGAGGAACGGGCTACTGAAAATCGTCCTCATTGGCACGCCCGACACCACAGACCCCATCGGTAGGCATGCATACTAGCTCCCCCTTTGTCGATAATGTTTTGTCTTAACTTCACAGCGACTCCAGCTTGCTGTGACACATTGGCTGTCCAAGGGAACTTGTCGCAGCGTTTGAGTCTTCTTAGTTTAGTTAGCGCCTCTGACTGTGATTCATGTCACAGGTTGATGGATGACAGTGTACGGAATACAGAATTTCCCAACAGCATGTGGCTTTACTCATTCGACATTGCTGCACTGCACTACAAGGTGTTTGTTGCCGTGCTTCCTCATCTAGATTTCGATGGCCAGTGGCGGCAATTGCCACACCCTTGTTCTCCGCCTATTTTCCCAGCCTCCCGCAACTTCAAAGACTGCGCGCAAAAAGACATAATCATAAGGACATGGCAGGCGATCCTGTGCAAGATTTGGACCCTGGAAAAAGACCGAGAAGGACTTTTAGCCATTCATGATTACCTGGCACGTTGCCTTGCTGAGAGAGTAAACATCTTACGAAGGTTAGCCGGTACATCATCCCCCTTCACCCCCGGCCTGATCACTGTATTTAGTGTTGGCGCCCGTCACACTGCTGGCCGTTCTAATAATAAGATGAATACAACAATGTGAAAGGCAACGTCCCTTGCACAGGCCACGTCTAGCTCTCTCTTACTCTTTGGCTTTGCTTTGCGTGCAGGAGGTGGTGAGGCTCCCGAGCGAGCGCGCGCACCCTTCCCATACGTTGGCTCCTTAGTCTGCGCAGCAAAACCAGTTCCACCAAAGCCAAAACAATTACCCACGCTGGCCCCATACAAAGCGTGTACCGTGTACCATCACTACGCGGAAACATCTATGCGTGGTGTGTCTCTTACTTTTGAATTTGGGGTTGGGGAATGACGGAGGCTAACCCTGAGCCGCAGAACCTCCCAGCGTACTTTATCACGGACTCAGCTCTCATGAGTGAGTGCTACAGGAAAGTAATCTTGTACGTGTCGATCGGCTTATATCGGCTCTCATGCAAATTCTAAACAACGAAGTTTGATTTCGAAGTCAGGTAAGGGTGAACACAGAAGACACGACAGCTCCCCGTGACGGCAGGGATTCCTGTCAAAGTT